TAACTCTCTCTCTCTCTCTCTCTCTCTCTCTATATATATATATATATATATAAAATACCACAAAGTTTGAACAGTAGTGTATAATTTATGCCAAAGCTAAAAACTATCGGTTTACTTACTTAGCTACTGCTGAGAGCGGCCTGATGATCTATATGTTGATAAGTTTGTCTATGGTCTGCTTACTCTTGCTTTGTATCACAGAGACAAATCTCAGGATGACACCTGACAGCTGGATTTGATTCACAGCTTCAAGCATTGAAACAGGAAAATAAACAACTCAATCCATCTTAACTTTGCCCCATCAAACTTTTAACTGCTCTCATTTCTCAAAGTCATGGAAAGCAGAAGCTTTGATTTTGGGATCAATAGCCATGTGAAGCACCAAACGCTGGCGTGTCAATTTTTCCTTGTCAGCTCCTTTAAATGGCAGACTTTTAAACGGAGTCCCACTAATTGCGCATGACGTCAGCATCAAATACCTTTCTGGGGTCACAGACACCCTGGTCACACACAAATAAGATCAATATTTCATCAAGCGAGTTGCAACTTAATTGACTGCTTAATTTTTTGAGGGCTGTTTATTCTCTGACAACAAATAAACCCACGAATGCACCTCCGGGGACATCTGTATCTTCATTTGCGTGCTACTTGCATCGTCCGATGTCTGAGTGCATAACATTCCCTAGTGCATCGGTTTGCGTGCAACATCCTGTTCATTTCTTTGACATGCTCTGTCAACCCTCTCTTCTGATGTCACAAGGCATTGTGGGAGAATTTTTAGCAACAGTTAAAACCACAGAAAAAAAAAAATCAGTATGATCAATTATTCATGAGACTGTTGCCGTTTTTGAGCTTGAATACAGTCCACATATCCACTGTGCAACAACTATGCTGTATAGTCACCTTGTAGTGTAAATTGTGCATGGCTCAATTATAACCTCTGCTTGACGTCTAGCCTCGAACGGGGGAAACGTAAATACTTGGCATTTACTACAGCCGTATGTTGGCATTTGTTTGCAGTCTGAGGTGATACTTAGAGATGAAAGGTACTGATTTTGCAACACAGCCAAGATAATTATATTTCCACATGAGTGACCGTGAGTACAGCGTCTGATACATGAAGCTGAGCTGCAAGACATTAGCTGATAACCTCAGGACAGACACAGCAATGTCAACAGAAGAGCCGAGTGCTCGCTAATCACTGATTCTCATCTCATTTGAGTGAGCAAACCTATTTATTTCGGAATATCTGATGCAATGATGTCTGTTTCATAAAATAAACATTTAAGAACATTTCTGGTCACCAAAGTGAACCACAAAAATCAATACATAGTTCAATACAATACAATACATAGATAATTAAATATAATTATATAGCATAAAATATATTATTATATAATGTAATTAAAACAACTTTGTGTTTTACACTATTTTTACGGTAATGTTTATGTCTATATGTACACAATTTATCCACATAAATTGATTAAAATAAATATAAAATAATAATAATAATAATAATAATAATAATAATAATAACTGAAGCATCAGTATTAATATTGGAGATATTTGCCTTCTTTTAGAGTACTTAGTAAAAAGTAATTAAACATACATTTAAAATATTCCATCTTTATGTTGTTTATATATTAATTTCAATGTGAAAATATATTTGTGATCACAAATTTTAATGTTAAGTGGTATTAATTGTTATTAATTACAGAATAATGTGCAATTAATTATTTTTGCTGCTAATTTAAAGTAATTGTTTTATATTTTAATGTTTTAAAGTGCAATTTATTAATTTGAATCAATTTAATGCATCCTTGCAACTATATTACAATATAATAATTATTATTAATAATATTAATCGATTCAATATTTTCAAAAACACTACTGCACATTTAAACAGTTAGAAATTAATTGATATCTACTGTAGGTGTATACGCGCTCGCACACACACACACATACACACACACAGATGATGTATTTGGAAGAATTACAATACATTTAAATGCTATTATGTTTATGTAAGATAAGGCTGATGTCAAAAGCATTTATTGAGAATAATGTTCTGTATAATTTCAATGCTAAAACCTTTTTAAACCAATCAAACTGACTGCATTTTGATTTATAGCATCTTGATAGAATACGTTCAGGGTTTGAAATTAACTTTTTCACTCACCAGCCAATTTGGCTACTAAATTTTTAAGTTACCGGCCATTCATAATTTCTACTAGCCAAAAAAATTAAACAAATAAATAATGAAAAAAAGGCCAGAGGTAAGCCAACAGCTTGAGGCTGTCCACACTGGATGCGACAAAGTGACCATTGCAAATCATTTGTACTTTGTAAAACAGTAGATTTACACTAAATCTGTGCAGATTTGGCTTACATTAACTTCATCAGGAAATTAATTAGTAAACATAATTTACGAAAAGTAACCCACCAAATTGGCTAGTGATTTGACAGCGTTACCCGCCACAGCTGATACCCGCATTTGGCGGGTTGGCGGGTGTTAATTTCAAACCCTGAATACGTTATTATAATTACTAAAGGAAATGTTATACCCATTCAAGTTTAAGAAAAAAAAATATTCTAATGTTTCTATTTGCATTAGCAAAAGACACATCAAGGTGAGCATTCTCTATCTAAAAGAGCTGGTGTATACTCACTTCTTCAGCGAGGTGTCATTCTCCAACCCAGACCGTCCAGTAAACAATGCATACTGTAGTCGGCAGCAAACACATAGACAGTCCCGGCTGAGAGGATGTAAAAAGCAATATGTTCCAAAAACCATCAATGGATAACAATTATTGTGCTCCATTTCCATTAGTTGCAGTAGTGTATTGTGTCCTCAAATTTGTCCCGGTAGGAAATGGTTGGATAGTCCTTGGAATACAGTGTGTGGAGTGAATGTTCAGGGGAGAAAGTCCAGTAGGGGTTCAGACAAATTATTCCATATTCCTCCCCATAATCGGATGACCTGGCCAGCTCTGGGACGGGTTGAAAACAAGAGAGAGAGAGAGAGAGAGAGGCCAATGAAAAACAAAACACTCTCAAAACCCAAATGAAGTGCAGATGTCTCAGCTGGCAGTGCCAATTGTTTTGGAAATACATACCCGAATAGAGAACAAGTGCATCTGGCAGACTACACAGAACTAAGATGAAACATATGTCATATGCACCAGACAGGACCGCGGATACTACATCAGTACCAGTGTAAAAAAAAAAACACATTGTTTTGTGTCGGACAAAATCCCAGTCTTACTCTTTCATCTCAGGGTGCTTCCTTTTTTCTATAAAAAATGAGTTTTATGACTTTTAAGTTAAAAATTATCATTTACAAAATAAATAAATTACAAAATATATTAATAAATGTATACATACTGAATATATATATATATATCATCGTTGACAGCCGCTCCGCACTGAGTTATGTGTTTGTTTGTGATCGTCTGTGTTCGCTACTTTACTACACTCGTTTTTGTTCCGCAAACTGCAAAACTGGATTTACTCTCCCTGCTTGGCTGACGGACTTTTGGCAAACTGGAGTCACTCTACTGCTTCGGTCTAGTGTACTTTTGTTGTTGACGCTGGGAACTCCTGGTTGTCGGCCTGCTGCGAGCCCTCTCACCCCTCGATTCATCATCTGCCGGACTGACTGAGAGGTGAGCTAACACTCTTCTTACCAGTCTCTCTACTGGCTTACTGTGTGGTCGGGTAGCTTTCCTCTACATAAGCTTTTATAGATGTTGCGATGGTTGTGGTCCTGGCTAACGCGTCGTTGCTGATAGCCGTATTTCTCATGGCTATCACCAACATGTCAAAGGTTTTGGAACTTGCATCGTATTTGGTTCTCTTTACTACTTTTGGATTACCTTCCAAACTGGAATTTGGATACCTGTCTAGCGAACTCAGGGCACTGGATGGGCACTCATACGAGTATGTCATACGGGCGACATACGAGCACTGCCGCTCGCTTGCGGATACCGACTTGGACATGTTATTTCTTACTGAGGCCTGGCAAACACCTGATGATTTCATCCATCTTAATCTGCTTACACCAAACGGATATCAGTACTTTCTAAGCCGCATGTATCTGGTAAAGGGGGTGGCCTTGCGATCATCTGTCGTAACTCCATAGCACTCACTCAGATGGATTTTCATTGTACTAAGACTTTTGAATACATGGTTCTGAAGGTCGGCTCAAATCGTTCCCTCACAATTATTTTGATTTATAGACCATCCAAACAACAAAACGACTTTTTCTCTGAACTCAGTGAACTATTAATGCTTGCTTGTGCATCATCAGCCCAGGTCATCTTACTTGGTGACTTTAACTTACATGTTGATACACACTGTTTTAATAGTACTCAACTAAAGACTGTTCTGGACTGCTTCGATCTTTATCAGAACGTCAACTTCTCTACTCACACTCATGGTCATACGCTTGACTTAGTCTGTACATCTGGTTTGAACAATATCTCCATTAGTGGTCTGGCTACTCCTATTTCTGATCATAAGCTTATTACTTTTGACTTTACACTAACTTATCCAACCAAATGTACTGACAACATAACCATTTCTTATCGTAAGTTCAATGCTATCAATGTTGATACATTTACTGCCTCTATTGATTCATCTGTTATTTCTGATGTTTTCAATTTTACCTGTCCATCCAATATATCTGATTTGCATCACTCTGCCATTGCTGATGTTTTAGACGAGTTTGCTCCAATTAGGACTAGGTCTGTTCCCATGTCCCACTCCTCTCCATGGTTTAACGATGAGCTACGTGCTATGAAAGCAAAAGGCAGGCAACTTGAACGCCTTTTTAGGAAAATTGGTTTAACTGTACACTTACAGGCATTTTCAGATCATGTTAAGCACTATAAAACTGCCTTGAACGCAGCTCACTCTTCCTATATCTCCAAAATTATTGACAAAGCAAACAATAGGCCTATATAACTTTTTAGCACAGTGAATAGGCTAGTTCAGGCTCCCATGCATAATGCCTTTCAACGAGAATCTGACGATCTATGCTGTTCTTTTTTATGCCATTTTCAGGGCAAGCTGGCCGCTTTATGTGGGTCATTTGGTGCAGAACTGACCACTTCTACTTGTGAGCTAGCTCGGTCTATTCAAACGCTTGATAACTTCTCCTTGTCTAATCCCACCTTAATTAGTGAAATAATACTGAAATCCAATTCTTCTTCCTGCCCGGCTGACCCTGCACCAACATTCCTTTTGAAACACTTAACCTCTGTAATTTCTGCTCCAATTTCACATATTGTAAACATGTCTCTTACCTCTGCCACTGTTCCAGTTTCACTTAAAACTGCTGCTGTTACTCCTATTCTTAAAAAAACAAATATAGACCCAACTGATTACACTAATTATTGTCCAATCTCCAACCTACTGTTTGTTTCAAAAATCATGGAAAAGGTTGTTGCCGCTCAATTGCAGTCATTTATAGCTCTCAATGAACACTTTGATATATTTCAGTCAGGTTTTCGTTCGCAACATAGTACTGAAACTGCTCTAGTAATGGTTATAAATGACCTCCTCCTTTCTGGTGATTCGGGCAATCTTTCTATACTTCTACTACTCGATCTCAGCTCAGCTTTTGATACTGTGTCTCATAAGCTATTACTCATGCGCCTCTCAGAGATCGGCATCTCAGCAGCTGCGTTATCCTGGTTTTCCTCATATTTGACGGACAGATAATACTACATCACCATACATAACTATAAATCTCCCTCTGTCACTCTTAAACAGGGTGTGCCACAGGGCTCAGTCCTAGGACCATTATTATTTATCATTTATATTATGCCCCTCTGACAAATTATTTGCCGCCACGGTTTACAGTACCACCGCTATGCCGATGATATTCAGATATACACTTCCTGCCGACCTGACTCAATTCACCAGACTGCATCTCTATTGTCATGCGTCAGTGAGTTAAAGACCTGGCTTAGCTCCAACTCTCTCAGTTTGAATTTGACTAAAACAGATATCGTACTTGTCGGGCCCCCAACTGTAACAAAAAACATAACAAATGCCCCTAGATTTGACCTCAAAGCCACATCAATTATTCCATCTGCCACAGTTAAAAACGTAGGTATCATTCTTGACACTTCTCTAAACCTAGATGCTTATATTAGTAAGCTCTCCAAAGCTGCATTTTTTCAACTTCGCCGTATTGCCAAACTCTGTTGCTTCATCAGCCCAAAAGATGCTGAATTACTAGTACATGCTTTAATCACATTTTGATTAAATGTAACACAAGCCTTGATTACTGTAACACTCTTTTTTCTGGATTTCCAGTACGCGCCATCTCTCGATTGCATTATATTCAAAATTCTGCTGCGAGAATGCTAACTTATACTAAACGGTCTGCCATATCACTCCTATTCTATTCAACCTCCACTGGCTACCTGTGTCCTCTCGTATCATTTATAAAATTATTCTGCTTACTTTTAAGCAGTGGTGTAATGTAACAAAGTAATAATACTTCGTTGCAGTACTTTTTGGGAGTATCTGTACTTTACTTGAGTTTTTATATTTCAGCCAACTTTTACTTTTACTCCACTACATTTCCTAAATAAAATGTATACTTTTACTCTGATACATTCCCCCGAAGCATATTCGTTACTTACTACAAAATAGTCAGAAGTCAGAGGAACACGGACTGCAGGAAAGCAGGATTGACGAATCAGTGGTCTGGCGTGACACCTTTGCTCATGTGCAAACAAGTGCGCGCACAACCGTGGATGATTTAATTTTCCACTCAAGTCGAGTCTGGGGTGTGCGATAGTCTATACAGTATATCTTCTGCAATAATATGTTAAGTGTTGTTGTAATGATGTGGGATCTGACATAATCAAGTATATCACCAAATCACACAGACAGAGACAGAGTGCATGCACATGATTTATTAGCCTATTGAAACTCAAAATTTAAGGCATTCTAAATTGTAGACGGCAAAAATGCTTCTGCATGCTTTTTATATTTATATAATTTAATATAGTTAACTTAATCTATATCACACAAAGAGTACTGTTTTTTTCTGCAGCTATCAGCATGGTGACTAATTTAATAATCATTTTATACAAGTTCAGTAAAGTTAGCAATAAGTGACTTACATTAAAATTCTGCAGCGAGAATGCTAACTTACACTAAACGGTCTGCACATATCACTCCTATTCTATTCAACCTCCACTGGCTACCTGTGTCCTCTCGTATCATTTATAAAATTCTTCTGCTTACCTTTAAGTCACTCCATGGTCTTGCACCTATCTCTCTGACCTGCTTTCTCCATATATTCCCTCTCGTCCACTTCGATCATCTGGAGATGGACTTCTTTGTGTTCTGAGATTTTGCCTATTATCTATGGGAGGTAGATCTTTCTCTGCTATGGCTCCCAAACTTTGGAACACATTGCCCCTGGCTCTCCGGACAATAACCACACTCCACGAATTTAAGTCTAAACTCAAAACCTATATGTTCAACCAATATTATCTGTTATAGTTATCTGTTATAGGTTTTTTTGTGTGTGTGATTGTGATTTGATACTGTATTATTACTGTGGTATGCAACTGCAACCGCACATTCTGGACTTGGCAAATGTCTTGTCCATCCATGTATGACATGATTATTTGCATTTGTCATTGTGCAGCGTTCTTGAGCTTGGGAAAGGCACTATATAAATTAAGCATAATATTTAATTATATATATATATATATATATATAAACTGTAAAATCATTGAATACTTGCAGATAATATAATATTAGTGAAATAGAAAACTTAAGTGTTCTTAAAGAGAGTACATTTTCATGACTACGTTCCTCAACACACTTAAAGGGATGGTTCACCCAAAAATAAAAAATTAATTATCATTCATCATTTACTCACCCTAAAGTTGTTCCAAACTTTTATGAATTTCTTTCTTCTGCCAAACATAGAAGATATTTTGAAAAATACTGGCAACTAAACAGTTGATAAACCCCATTGAAAATTACTATGGAAGTCAATGGGGACCAGCAACTCTTTGGTTACCCAGGTGAAAAAAACGTAGTATTATATGTATTAAAAATATACTTGAAATTCAAGTAGTATGTTTATAATACATTTGTATTCCCATATTTTTCACCTGGGTAAGTACATTCTTCAAAATATTTTATTTGTAATAATGAAAAGTAAAAGTACCCAGTGGTGCTCCTTGCATGTTTATTATTTGTATTATTATTTTTATTTCAATTAAATAAATACTTTAATTTCATTTGATAATGTTTTTTTTTTTTTTGCATATATAACATTTTTAGGGGATTTTATGGCATACAAAAGTACAGTTTTAAAATTGTATATGAAATCTATATTTTCCAAAACAAGTTTTACTCTAAAACAGCAAGAATCCGTAAAGCCATTAATCCAAACAAGATGTGCTCAGTATTTGAGGTTGATGTCTCAAAAAAAAAAATCAGCTTTTAGTAAGATTTTCTTTCGATGAAATTCGCTTCCCATTGGTTTCCAATGCGGTCATTTTTTATTTTTTTTTATCACGAGGAGTACAAGTGTGACTTGACTAACATACTACATGGAAAGTATTTGATTATAATTTTAAAAACAAGTTAATTTAGGTTGATATAAGTTTTATAATGGTCATTTACAAAAATAAAACCTATCTAAAATCCCACATAACATATGACTTCAGAAGAATAAAAAAATATGTCATTACTCTTTAGGGCTGATGGCTGTCTCTTGCGGGACAGCGGAAGGAGTCATCAAATTTTAAAATCACTCCAATCTCGTTGAACCCTCTTCTCGTCGCTGACCTGCGGGCTTGCTGTGTCTAGGAAACAAAGAAAAATGGCGGTGAGGGATGGGCAGGACTGTGTTAGTAACAGCACAGAGGGCAGTGTGCTTGCGGAGGTGAAGGACATCAGTCTGTCTGTGGCAGCAGAATGGCTACAGTAGCATAACTGATTTTCACTACTAGAAAACAAGAGTATAATGTGGCACAGAACAGATAAGTAAGAGGTATAATCAGCTGATCATGCACAGCTTGCACAGCACAAGGTCAAAGGTCAAGTATACCACATAATGGTCATTATACAACAGAATTTCCCTCCACAATGCTGCAATTGACCAATCAAGATGAAGTATTCCAGAGAGCTGTTTAATCCTGACTCTTAAGCAGTGGCAAGGGGAAACACATTCTATGCGAATGGTACGAAGCCTTTTGATTTATACTGAGCAAACATCTTTCTGATGTCAAGATCTGACACTACTATAGCTGTTCAACTAATCAGCAAACTGTTTGTTGCACATGAGGAATAAATACAACATACTCTTCCATACACATATCCCTCTGATGTGTTATGTAATATTAAGGCATTTCTTATGACTACATGTTGTTTATCGACAGTGTGTTGGTGGGATGCCATTTTTAGATCAGTAGCTATACAGAAACACAATCCTGTGAAGAAAATTGTTGGCACTTTTCATGAATCCAAAGTTGTTGTTTTCTTTTTTTTTGAGAATTCCGGATATGTTTGATAAAGTATTATATACATTTTAATGAACTAATTTTGATTACCGAAAACTATATATATATATATATATATATATATATATACACACAAGAAAGACAAGCAAATTATAATATTATTAACAAAATATCTTTCTTTCTTTTTTTATTTTTTTTATTTTAGTACCCACATTATCGTAAGGAAAAATAATTCCAAAAATAATTTATTGGAAATTGTGTTATTCAATAGCTATACAACCAACATTTGGTCCCAAAGTAGTTAATCCTGCAAATTTAATATATAATTAATGGAAAATAAACCAGCTCATATGCATTCATATTTAGTATCATATACTGAGGTTGCCAATGAACATTTTATGAAGGTTAAGTCCCTCATTTCACTGACCATTTGCTGAAAAGAAAATACCCTATTTCAGGTCATCATGCTCCTTCAGACAATAATATTTCATTCACATCCTGTGCTAACTTACTTGACTAATGATTACTTTTAATTCACTGCTTTTAGGTACCTGGGTGACTGACGGGATCAGGAGAATCATGGAAGTTCACCCTTCTGCATCGCCAGCTCTTGACTGAATGGACTTTATCGATTTAATGATTTAAGGATGAGGTCCTCTTGAATTCCATGAGCATTCATCTAGAAACTGCAATTACCTGATTGGACTCTTAAATCCAAATTCCACAAAGGAAAAGCTCTTTAAGAAATACCTGGATATGGCCCATTGAATCAGGTGAATAGCTCTATTTCTGGCAATTACAAGAGTCTATATAGATGCACTCGGAGGAGTTGTAAACTGCCCAGGCATTGTTAAAAGCCTACTGTCAAAAGGTTATGTGAATGTGCAATTGCCTGCAAGCAACCTTAAGCATTTTAAATCACAAAAGTGATTTGCCTTTGATTTGAATGAGACATTCTTTCTTCTACTTGTTCAACATTTTCTTTTTTTTTTTTATCTGTCTTTTACACTAAAAAAAAATAAATAATAATAATACAAATAAATTGGTGTAGATAGTAACATGTATATCAAATGCTTGTACTTTCTAGTTATAGTTCACCCACAAATGAAAAGTTTCTGAAATGTACTCACCCTCAGGCCATCCAAGATCTAGATGAGTTTGTTTCTTCATCAGAACATATTGGAGAAATTTAGCATTACATCACTTTCTCACTAATAAATCCTCTGCAGTGAATGGGTGCCGTCAGAATGAGAGTCCAAACAGCTGATAATAACATCACAATAATCCACAAGAATTCCACACGACTCCGGTCTATCAGTGAACATTTGTGAATCTAAAAGCTGTGTGTTTATAAGAAACAAATCCATCATTAAGACATATTTAATATCAAACCGTTGCTTCCAGCTAAAATACAAGTCCATAATCCATAATATTTATTTCCCAAGTGAAAAAGTTGTCTCATTTGAATCAGTAGAGAAATATGCACAGATCAAGCACCATTTACAAGTGAAAACAGTCCAAAACTGTTCTAAACAAATATGTTGGTGGATTTTGATGTGAGAGAACAACAGGGGATTACGTTTTTTTTTACGGAGGACATTTTATTAATAATTATGAACTGGTATTTTGGCCAGAAGCTACAGTTTAAAGTAAAAAAAAGAAAAAAGTCTTAATGATGAATTTGTTTCTTGCAAACATGCATGTTACTTGATGGGTGTTGCGTGGATTACTTGTGGATTAGTTCCAGCTCTTTGAATTCTCATTCTAGCGGCACCCATTCACTGCAGAGGATCCATTGGTGAGCAAGTGATGTAATGCTACATTTCTCCAAATCTGTCCTGATGAAGAAACAAACTCATCTACATCTTGTATGGCCTGGGGTGAGTACATTTTCAGAAAAAAAATATTTTTGGGTGAATTATTCCTTTAACAATGGAGTAGAAACAATTTCTACTCAGAAACTGCTACTAAATTTCACAAACAATTCTAAAGAAATTATAGTAACAATGAAATTAAATGTGAAATTTTGAAGTGGAAAAACTGAAATCATATTCTCTTATAAAACATACTCCAATATATATATATATATATATATATATATATATATACACACACACACACACACAAGAGGACTTTGGACCACTGGGCAATAGTCCAGTTCTTCTTCTCCTTTGTCTGTGGTTCAGGAGTGGCTTAACAAGAGGAATACGACAACTGTAGCCAAATTCCTTGACACGTCTGTGTGTGGTGGCTCTTTATGCCTTGACCCCAGCCTCAGTCCATTTCTTGTGAAGTTCACTCAAATTCTTGAATTGATTTTGCTTGACAATCCTCATAAGGCTGCGGTTCTCTCTGTTGGTTGTGCATCTTTTTCTTCCACAGTTTTTCCTTCCACTCAACTTTCTGTTTACATGCTTGGATACAGCACTCTGTGAACAGCCAGCTTCTTTGGCAATGAATGTTTTTGGTTTACCCTCCTTGTGAAGGGTGTCAGTGATTGTCTTCTGGACAACTGTCAGATCAGCAGTCTTCCCCATGATTGTGTAGCCTAGTGAACCAAACTGAGAGACCATTTTGAAGGCTCAGGAAACCTTTGCAGGGGTTTTGAGTTGATTAGCTGATTGGCATGTCACCATATTCTAATTTGTTGAGATAGTGAATTGGTGGGTTTTTGTTAAATGTGAGCCAAAATCATCACAATTAAAATAACCAAAGACTTAAACTACTTCAGTCTGTGTGCATTGAATTTATTTAATACACGAGTTTCACAATTTGAGTTGAATTACTGAAATAAATGAACTTTTCCACGACATTCTAATTTATTGAGATGCACCTGTATAATTTTTTTTACCTATTTAAAACTTCCAAAAAATTATCAGTGTACATACCTCCTGGTATGTCTGTGCTTGTTCCCTCTTTAGAGGACAGAGAATGCCGTCTCTTGAGCTCAATACAAGTCCTGGGATTGTGCTTTTGTGTGGGGGAGACTATGTCCTCGGAGATCATCTCTGATATCTGCACATTTGTCTCAGAGTCTGTGACCAGCACCATGGCAGTGGAGTCTTTTAAACTAGCGGCGGCCCCTCCTAAACCCGCTCCCGTAGCCTCCTGGCCCTCCACAATTTTGGAGCTGGAGCGTGGGACCTGCCCCGCCGCTTGCCCCCCATTGCTTTGCGAGCGCATATTTGTCATAGCGGTTCCCTTTCCGGAATCTGCCCCATTATGGCTGTAGACTTTATACCGGATCATGAGGATGATGATGAAAACAAGGACGGAGGCCACGATGATTCCTCCGATGATGATGATCATGGTGCCGCCCAGGTAATGGCTGTGGAGTGACTGGCACTGACTGTACTCTGTCTCCATGACGAATGTGACGCAGCCCACCTGCCGTGTGGTGGTCAGCGAGGTCACGCCATCATCATAGACAGCCAGAACGCACAGGTAGTACTCCCGCCCAGATACGAGGTCTCGCACCAGGAAGTCGTAACTCGTGGAGGGAATCATTCTGCAAGACAGGCAGGGCAGAGTTGAACGTTATCATGTATTCCAGAGATAATACATGAATATAATTAAGATTACACTCAGCCAGCATGTGCATGTATTATCTATGGCCTCATGATCACTGTAGAGAACTGTATTTAATTATATCATAATTCTGAATATCATGGACATCATGTTCATTCTGATTAATGAATTTAATATATGACATACAACAATGTAATCTCTAGTCATTGGAGAGCTATTTCCCATCATGAAAAAAAAGGCCAAGCAAAACAGTACTCTTTATTATAAGGCTCCATCAACATAACCAATGTCAAAATCAATACACAAGACATTATTGATTTCTTCTGAAATTTACAACATGAATAAGGTGTGCTGTAAGTGCAATTAAGTCTATGGGTGGTGTCACGCTGCGCTACTGTGAGGAGCTCGGAAACGAGGAATTCAAACATACAGGTTTTAATCACATCCAGGGAACAAGGAAAACACACGTAGCAAGGGTAGACATATACAAAACAAGGAACAGAGTCTGACATTACTCCGTCCCGCACCGTACAACATACAACGGGGAGAGGGGAGTGGGCGCTCTGGGGGCCTCTAGGAGCAGGGTTCCAGGACGGAAGGCCTCCAGGGCGGCGCCCGTTCCGGGATCATTTCCCATCATGAAAAAAAAGGCCAAGCAAAACAGTACTCTTTATTATAAGGCTCCATCAACATAACCAATGTCAAAATCAATACACAAGACATTATTGATTTCTTCTGAAATTTACAACATGAATAAGGTGTGCTGTAAGTGCAATTAAGTCTATGGGTGGTGTCACGCTGCGCTACTGTGAGGAGCTCGGAAACGAGGAATTCAAACATACAGGTTTTAATCACATCCAGGGAACAAGGAAAACACACGTAGCAAGGGTAGACATATACAAAACAAGGAACAAAGTCTGACAGGTGGAGTGTTAATATATAAACAGTATAGTAAATGCAATTTGTATTGTTACAGTAGAAAAACATATTTTTAATACAATTTTTATATATTTTTAAAATAGTTGCATGTTATAAAATACTATTTTAAATACATACTTTTTATTTTTTTAATTGTATGACATTTTTATATTTTCAAAATAATGTTTTAAAACTTTTATTATTATTATTATTAGTAGTAGTATTAGTATTATTATTATTATTATTATTATTATTATTATATAAAGGATAATATAAATATGAATATAATCTATGTTTATTTTTCTTATTTTATTTATTGTTGCACCATAAAAAATAAATGCATTAAAATATATGTTATAAAGTCTATTTTTGTATTATTATTATGTAAAGGATACAATTATATCTAGATTTATTTCGCTTATTTTATTTATAGAAGCACTTTTTAGCACAATTTTATCAGGCATTGCCCTAAGATCCCAATACATAACTTCTTGTTTAGTGTTTACAATTTTATTATTACTAGTGCAATTACTGGGGCAATATGGTAAATACACTATTTTGAGGCATACATTCATCTGATCCGCGGCTTCATCTTAATAGATTAAGTAAACGCATGATTACTATGTTGTACTCTCCAAGTTTACAATAACCAAACTATTATATTTAGTACGCAATATTATCCTGGGGTTTGACATGAGGAAGAACTATGGTGCTCATAATACAGAACTCAACACTCATAAGATTCAGTTCAGAAAAAGACTGGCTCTTGTTAGTCTATGCACACTAATACTGCACATAATAACCTTATATACTAACATTAAAGTGACTAAGCATCAGAGGTGTAAAGTATTGGAGTAAATGCAATTAGTTACTGTACTTGAGTATCTTTTTGGATACTTTGTAGTTGTACTGAGTATCAAAGATATTAGCAACTTTTACTCTTTACTTCACTACATTTTTGAATGAGTAGCTGTACTCTTTACTCCACTACATTTCAAATGAGTGTTGCAGTTACACATTACATTTTGCATGGACCTAGCTTTTTCTGCAGCAGTTTATTTCTGCTACAAAAGACGTGATACTGCCTATTACAGGTCACTGAAAGTACTGCATCTTATGTGTTTTGCGCTTACTCACCCAAACTTTTCAACAAGGCTACTTTATGTGAATGCGAGTTCCTTAGCAAGTATTTGGGAATCACAGGTGTTTTATATATGAGATGAGGACATGCCGGCAATGAGGCCCAAACCAGCACAGCCAGTGCAAGAAGGTTTCGGCTTTTTTATTTTACTTAACATTATTTTATTTATCCATTATACTGAAGAGACATTTTTGAAAGATGTTGTTTTTTGTTTGTCTGTTTGTTTGTTTTGTTTTGTAATTTTGAGGTGTTCAGTTTTATTTTGGTTTTAGAAAATAAACGCGCTCTCCTCACAAATCAACTCTTTCTTGTTTTTGTTACATGTTCTCTGTGCCTTGCCCTGTTATTGTTTGTTCTAGTTTTTCCATGAAATACCAGCACATAGATCCTTGCCTCTGCCTGTTTTCCGCAGCTTCTCCACAACATTACAGTTTTTCACTGGCATGTTTATTTGACTAGTGCAATTTTTGAGCCTATATTTAGTATAAGTAAAATACTTAAGTACTGTTAAAATCAGATACTCTGAGACTTTTACTCAAGTTGTTGTGGAATTGGTGACTTGTAACGTGTAGTGGAGTAATTTTCACTGTAAGGTATCTGTACTTTTACTCAAGTATGGTTTTTAGGTACTCTTTACACCTCTGCTAAGCATCATACAGACTATACATTAGTTAAAGCAGTGTTAATCTCAGTGCAAATGCAATGATATTAATATAACACATCTGTATACACTGCATTTCTATATTTAATGTGCAATGAATAAAAAAGTATATTGAGGGATATTTTAGTATTAAAAGTATAATCGCATGGCAGATTACTTAGGATTGGGTTAGGGTTACAATACCATTCGCTAAAAGAGAATAAATATATCATTAGTCATGAAACTCTAGATGGCGCAGGCTGATGGGTTGTTAACGTAACTGATGATATTCAGAGAGTTAAACGACTTGGCACAAGCTGATTGGTTCATGCTGCATATGCAGCCAATGAGCTTACTGCCTTGCATTTATATGGCTGGCTAGCATTCACTAGAGATTCCTGCAGCGCACTTTCATAGTTTCTCTGAAACCTTCCACTTTCCCCAGCTCCACCTGTATAGATCTGCTACGGGTTATTTTATATGCTATTTGTGCAGCAGCAGTATGTCTTAAATACTCAAGTAGCGTAGCAGATCTATTCTGCCAAGACCAAATACATTAACATTGTCATATCCATCATCATGCTAAAATCTTCTGAGAGTTGTCATGATTAAAATGCTTTTATGAGAGCTTATGCACAATATAGGTATGCTGATTATAAAACATTACTAGTGGGAATCATAAGTTTATCAATGATGTCCCACTCTGTCCGCCATTGTGCTAGAGGGTACTGGAAATCTACCAGTAAAAAAAAAAAAAAATGGAAGTTGTTTTTTGCTTCCATACCTTTTTCTTTAAAAATATGGTGGTGTTACACATATGGGTCATGCAGTAAAGCAAACCTCATGTTTTTTTTTTTTTTTCTTCCATGCTGTTATTTTATTTATTTATTTTTCCCTCTGGAACACAAAAGTAAATGTTACAACGTTCCTGCCATAAAAGCTCCAAACAAGCCAAAAAGCATCATAAAATGCTCCACATACACTGTATTCCAAGTAATATGATAGCTTAATGACAGAAAAAGACTGAACAATTCAAGTTGTATACCATTCTGTGGTGCTTTTATGGTGTTGGAGATTGACAGACCATGGTCACTATATTCTGCCAGTATTTGGTGTTGCATAGCATTTATCAGTTTTTCATTCTGTGTTTTTCTGTCAATATGGGGTGCTGTGTGTACATTAATGAGGAAAAAAAATTAACTTAAATGATTTTAGCAAATGGCTGCAATATAACAAAGAGTGAAAAATTTAAGGGGGTCTGAATACTTTCCGTACCCACTGTAAAGGTGAATAAATAACATAATTCTTCATGTTTGGTTGAACTATCACTTTAAAGTCTATGTCAGATTTCATTAAAAAGAAATAAAGTGAGAAATATCTACATCATGTTATAATACAGCAAAGGAGACGGCTGCAACGTCTGGTTATTGATTTTAAAGTCATATTTGAAGTGTTCTCATTTGCGTCCTGCCTTCTGTTCATTCATCAAGAAAGTTTTTTTATTTTTTTTCACTGAAGATGACATGCGTCAGATCCCTCTGCACATTAATTCATTTCTCAAACACACTTCACACACGCTTGCTTCATTTGCATGCCGTCTGGGGCCTTTCCTTTCTGTATGATATTAGGGCCACCAGTGAAGTCTCGAGTAATTACAGAGGTATTCCAGGCCATCAAAGACCCTCGAAAAATAGCTTTCAGAAGAAAAGAGCTGCTAATAAAGAAACACAAAGATAATACAATAGAGGACTTTTTGCAGCTGCGGCACAACAAAAATGTTCAAATTAAAAGACCCATAATTTAGTGAACAACTGAGAATCCTTTTCTCTCTGGTGCACACAAATCAAAGCCGGTCTCCATTTTTGCAGTGCAGTTTATTGTTGTAATTTTCGATTCGTTTGAATTCTCAACATTACTTGTCTGGAAATAAAGAGAAACCGTATCAATCGCAGTTTAGCCCTAAATGGCGACTCTAAGTTTGAGTTTTAAAACACACCTTGCTTATGAAGTGCATCTTCTTGCTGATATTTCAACAGAAACACATTATTCAAAATGAGTTATTAAAATAATGCCTTTGAGGGAAACTACGTCTTTCCAATCCTACAGCAATAAAACACTGTGGTATATACAGTGGGTACGGAAAGTATTCAGACCCCCTTAAAAGGAAACTACGTCTTTCCAATCCTACAGCAATAAAACACTGTGGTATATATATACTGCAATCTACGTAACATGGCTGCTAAGCTTGCTAACAGTGTTACCGCACACCTGCCACAAACCA